CCCATCTTGTAACTGTTGTATATGATGGAGCATTGGGTCCCAAAGCTGTTACAAGTTCTTCATGAATTGTCTTTGGATCTATTCCCAAAATAGTTCGAATTTTTATATAATATCGATTGAGTTCATTACCCATTAAAAAAAATTTTTTTTTGGTTCAAACCAAAGTTTATCTGAAAAAGTACTATAACTAAGTCCAAAATAGATTTACTATATATATTATTATAGACAAGACATTCCACTATTTATCCATGCAACAACCTCTTGAATGTTAATTGGTTTATAAAATTGCCAATAACGATTGCAGAACTTTTGGTCAGACCTAAGTACTACGTTTTTGATATTGCCCTTAAACACAACTGTTGTTTCCATTCATAGTCAAAATTATCTATAATTCTGATTTTGTGAAACACGATCTGAAAGCAGTGTTGAAGTGTTTAGGGGCAGAAATTTGCATCCCCCCCCCACAGACTGTGACAGAGAAATTCGATACCCATCACAGACCGTGACAGAGAAAGTGTAGTTTTGAAGCATCAAATAAACGGTCAGCTACAAATGTGTCGTGAAGAAATGGAACAAAACGATGTCCATTTAACTAGTAACAATAGGTCCATCGTGTTTCACATTTTGAATCCCGCAAGGGATTCCGCTAACAGCTTCTTTATTTAGCTGGATAATTTTTTTCAAATCTCTTTTTTTTCTTTTTTACTTATAGTTACCTAAAAGGTTTTTGTAATATTAGGAAAAAATCTAAAAAAATTGCAGAGAGACTTTAAATCATACTTGATTAAGCGGTCAAATAGTTGCCAATATTATTTATACAATATTCGTTAGTTACTAATTATTCCTAAAACACGTTTTTAAGCATGTTAGAAAATGGCATAAGTCACGCCCTTTGTTCTTTTTTCGTAAATGATTGACAAGAGCCTTATGATTATAAAGTCAAGTAATGTAACTAAGCAATTTTGTGCTTTTTGCATCGGATGACTTTGTTCTAAATATGTCATTAATAAAAACTTTCAGAGATTTGTCAATAGAATATTCGCTATCTACATTTTTGATTTTAGCTATTGTGGCTTTCAATATAGTCATTTTTTGAACAAGTTTTGATAGAAAGTAGTTAGTGAGCTATAATTTTCACTATTTAAAAGAGAAATGTGATGAGCATACGATTATGTCAAATTTTATTCATTGGAAGTTAGTTAATTAGGTGAGTTTTCTAGTGTAGATCTTGAGAACGATTTTCCGTAAAGTTTTTCCATTGTAATTCAAGTTTTCTGATTCATATTCTAAAGAAAAGCTCAGTTATTACTGATCTACGGAAGGTCGAGACTCGTAGAGTGTATCGTTCATGAGTTATGCAGATTTTCTGGAAACTCAAGATTTTGGTCAACTGATCATGAATCGTGCTGAGTAGTCTTATGGTGGTTATTTGTAGTTTCAATGCAACATAAAATCGCGAGATCAAATTTTGAAAATATATCTTCTACAAACTAAATTGTTGCAAAAATAAATTTTCCAAAATTTTCATCCGGTGCCTAAGACTTACGTCAAAACAACAAGCAAACAGTACAAGTCGACCCATCATGATTCAGTATCCCTATTGACCTATTTTGCAGTGATTCATGATCAGTTGACCAAAATGTTGGGTTACCAGAAAATCTATATAACTTGTGAACGGTACACTTTACGAATCTTGACCTTCCATAGATCAGTAATAACTGAGTTTCTCTTTAGAATATGAATCAGAAAATTTGAATTACAATAGAAAAGTTTTTCTCATCACATTTCTCTTTTAAATAGTGAAAATCCTGGCTCCTTAACTAGTTTCTATCAAAACTTACTCAAAAAATGACTACATCTATTACTTATTGAAGACAATAATAGATTATCTGTGATAATAGAATCGTTTGATCTACGACATATATCAATGAATATTTTTGGTTAAAATTTTTCTCGTGAAGTAGTAGATTTTGATAATTTATGTTCATTAATTAACCTAAAGCATTAAGGAGACCCCTCAGAAATGATTTTCCACTTAGAATGATCCTTTTGCACTGAAATATTCAGGGATGCGTGATCTTGGAGAGATACGCTTCCAGTAAAAATTTCAGCCCGATTGGTCGTACTAGACAGAAGTTCCAGCTGATTTATAGGTCATTTTTGGCCTTCAGGAAAGTCGACAAAACTTCGTCGTCAAATGAGGTAGAGAGTTCGGGCTAGTTTAAAATTAAACCTGATGTGAGTACGCAACTTTTGCCCCAACAGAATTTTTATATTCCTTGTTGTTCACTTTTTATGAACATTTTAGTGCGAAGGTCTTAAAATTAGCATAAAAGATGGTAGTCCAACGATAGTAAATTCCACTTTTCTCAGCCCAGGAACCAACTTTCAAAAATCCGTTCGGAGAAAGTTTGTTCTGATCGAGATCTTTAAAATAAAAAAATATTGGTAATAGCTCGAAACATGAGGGAGGAGTTTGAATTTCCCTGATTGAAAGTCATACTCTGAGAAAAACCTCAATGAAATTTTAGAAGTCGTTTTTTTGGGTCAAATTCAAAAAACTCATAGAAAAGTTGCATAATTTCAGTCGATTTTCTAAAACTATTTTAAGGCCCGTGAAAGATGCAGTTAAACTAACGCCATCTGACATGTGGCTTAATATCAAAATGTTCTATTCAATGATAATTGATGTAGTGGCGGAGTTTTTCCAAAACTGAAAAACTTTCAAAAAACACGAAAATTTCTCGGAAAATAAGGTAGGTAGTTGAAAAACGGATCATTTTCCAAAAAATCTATACATATACTGAAAGAGGAAGCGTCGCTCTATCTTCGTGTGGTAAAAATTCAATTTCGGTATTGTATGGAAAAATCGATTTTCTAAAGGGGGCCCGTCCTTAAGTCACATGCACGAATAAAAGATCTAACGACGAAATCACTCAAAGTGTGAAAGAGCTTGTGAGCTCAAAATTTGCTCATAGCTAGGACATATATAGACTAGAAAAAGTCAAAAGTGATACGTGCACAAGTTGCTATTTTGGCTCAGATATCGACATTTTAGTATATTTTTTCCAGAAGAACGATTTGTCCAAACATAACACTGTTATATTTTTAACGCAGCTTTCTCCAAACCTTTCGGAAGTTTCTGAGAGCTAGAATATTCGTTCAAACGCCATTCAACGATACTTAAGCTTATTAAACCTCCTTTATCCTATAAGAACGGTATGTTTCGACTAGCATCTCAAGTGTCTAGAATCATTTTGTCAGCAAGTGCTGCTGTTACATAAAAAAATTTTTCTTCGATGCCATTGAGAAAGCTCTAATTTCTTGACAAACGATTTCTTCAAATGAAACGTTCCTAGAGCAAGTTTTGTAGAGCGTCGATGAGGCTTTTATGCAGTAAAAAAGATTTTGTCTAAAGCATTTTGTGCTCTGATGAAAAATGCAAAAAAGCAAACATAACGATGTCAAGTTTTTCTGAACCAATTTTGAGGTAGTTGACATGCTCAGAAAGATTTAACTTTTATGATTATTAGTCTTTTCTATGTAACCAATCATTCTACGCAAGAATGAATTGATAGATCGATATCGAAGCTCATAAACTGAACCGTAAGCTAGGAACTCTATAAGCGTCTACGATTGCTCGTTGACCCCGAGAGTCAAAACTAATAGACCATTTTGTAGTGAATGAAATTCCGCATGGATTGGTATATCTATCGGTATTTTTTGAAAAAAATACTTACTTAAAAAATTTGAAATACGATTTTGAAAACTTAAGAACCCGTTTTTCAATGCAAAATCTGTTATTTTTTACAAAATAAATATCAAATTCGTAATTAGCGTTAAAGACTTCATCTGGTAACCTATTCAGATTTGTCTAGCGCGAAAAACAAATGTTTTCAAATGTTGGTTAATGAAGTGTCCCATTACATGAACAAGTTGAGAGTCCTACCTTTTCCATAAAATCAAAGGTTTGAATTTTCATCTGAAATCCTGCCCGTATTAAGGCCTAAATGAGACGAGCTAGTCTACAAAGTTTTATGAGTTAGGGGTGAATAATGTTTGAGCTATGGATTTACGAAAATTCTTATGCAAAGCACAATATCCATAAAAAAGGATCTTCAGAATAAGGCATTGATATCTTCGAGGCAATTCGTCGAAAATTTTTGAAATTCTATGGACAAGCTAGTCTGATAAAAATCTTGATGCAGACAAAATTTTAGATAAAAATTGGAGACGTTGGTCTTATTGGGAAAGTAGGATTGTACTAGAAAAAATTCTAAAGTTACTAAAACGTCGATATCTGAACCAAACTGCAGCTTGTGCACATATCACTTTAGACTTTTTCTAGTCTATGTATGTCATATCAATGAACAAATTATGAACTCAAAAGCTTTCTGACACCTGGATGGTTCTGTCGTAAGATAAGTTCATGTTTCATCGTCAGTGATAATAAAACACAAATATGGTGGAACTTCATCAATTTTTCAAAACATTTAAAGCAATACACTATATCAGGTTTGGAATGAGAGGAGAGTGGTACATAGTTTAGTACTGTCACATTCGTATAAACAGTTAATGAGATGTATAGGAATTGAATATTTAAAATTGAATTACTCATTTATTACAGATAAAAGTAACTTGTAATCATTGTTTAGGTTTGCCAATCGAATGTACAAAGCACAATGTTAGCGGTGATGCTACGCGTCGTGTTGGCTCAGGGAAAGGAAATCTTTGTGATCGTGATATGGTAGGGTGGATGCGTTTCGTTGATCGTGCGGGAACTGCTATCGTGAGAAAAGCTCCAACAGGGCGTTGTGGTGGTTTGGATGCCGGATGGATACTTGGCGTCTATCCAACAGAACCTGGAGCAACGACACTCAGCACTTTGTGTTATGTCGACGAGATTGGAAATCCGTGTTCAACATCTAAACCAATTCGCACTACACATTGTGGTGATTTCTTAGTATTTGAAATACCTGCTCCACCAGATTGTCCTACACGAGCTTGCACAGAAGACTACATATTTAATTAAATATTACTCATATATTATTGATGTCATATGTATCGACTAACTAGAATAATTAGCTATCATATTTTCCTTCATTTTTAAATACATCATATAGAGTGACACCTACGATATCGTGACGCGTGAGTACGATATAAATATTTGAAAAGAAAACGACGATAATGTTTTATTTTATTTGTTCACGGTTATACAGACACAAAAGTTTTGTTGAATATTCATAGTAACATGTATTAAGTAGTACAAACGACTATTTGGGCGTGGGTGTCGGTGTGGATGTGTTGAGATACCACAAAACAAAAGTTTTTCGAATTTACTTACAATTCTTATCAAGTGACAAGTATCCGTTACGCGCTTAATAAAAAATGCGGAAATCCCGGATATATATCCGAGAGTATGTGTACTTCAAAAAGTGAATGAGACAAATCGGTCAACTTGGGATGTCTGGATATAAAAATTTTCCTGGCAACCTTTTCTATAAACCCTTGAATTCCATTGGCTAGTGCTCAACCAATAGGACTTGGGAGCGTAAACGCTGTTTTTCCTATAACTTGATTTCTATTCGTCAATGCTCAACCAATAGACCTTCGAGCCAAGTGGAGTACAGATTCGAGTTCTCCATACTATCAAACGTTCGATTATAACCTCTATGATAGGAAGATAGACTTCCCATAGGGGATCGATTGGAGCATGCACAAAAAGCGAACCGATTTCCGCCTATTTATCTTACGAATAGGTGAGTTAGTCTTCTTGTTTCTTAATTTTTTTATATATCATTTTGTAGCTCTTGAAATTTTCTATCGAATGGTATATAATAGTTGGGGTTTTACTAGACTGTGATAGAAAAGTCTTTTACGAAAATGATGATGGGTCGATTTTCCCATAGGAAACCATATGGAAAAATGAGTCTTTTTGCAAAAACTTAGGAAGGACTCGGCCGATTCTTCTCATCTTCCTCTCTAGACCGAGATATTTTCAAGACTGAACTATGTAGGAAATTTCATCGCGATCTGACTCTCCGTTCGAAAGTTATCATGTAAACGGCCGGACGGCCGGACACACTGACCGATTCTAGAGTGTACTCACTTTTTAAGTACACAAAAAGATTTATTATGTATACAAAATGTTTGGACATATTTAGGAAGTTACATGCTCTTAACATTTCAATAGTTAATATTGCTAATTTTGTAGTACATGAAATTACTTCTGAACATCTCTGATTATTCCGATCCATTCTCCTTCATTGCCGTCCATTCCCATTCATTCCCTCCCATTCTCATCCATTCCCTCGCATTCTCATCCATTCCCGTCCATTCTCATCCGTTCCCATCTATTCTCATCCATTCGAATGCCCGCGAATGAGTTTTTTCCCCCTTGGGTGTGGGTGTGGATGTGGGTGTGGGTGTGGGTGTGGATGTGGGTGCGGGTGTGGATGTGGGTGTAGGTGTGGATGTGGGTGTGGATGTGCTTGTTGGTATCAGTATTGGTATATTCTTCACTCGTACACGCATCCGTACCCACACCTACACCCATCCTCACACCCACACCCACCCTTCTGGAAAGCTGTAAGCCAGGCCAAAATGTTTCTATGTAAAACACTTAACATAGATAAGGGTAGAGCATCAATCAACAACTGATCGACTGATCTCTGAACAGTGAAAATACAAGTTTAGTCTATTAATCGTTAACTAATGATTTTCAATAGTCGACCCCCAGTCTAAGTAATTGCAATTATAGTTCTGATTAATAGGGTTAGTAAGATAATAATGAAACAAATCCAGAATTTTATGTGCTAGCGTGTTTCTTGTTATTTATCAACATATAAACATTTGTTAAGGCCTGGGTTAGACTTGAAAGCAAGAAACACAAAACAGACGAAAACAGATTTCAATGGGACACAAAACTGAATTACAACAGATAATAGAAAAAAAGAATGATTGTGAGTGTGACGTTGTGATGTGGCTGTGGCGATAGAGTATGTGTGTTTGAGTGTGTGTGGGTACGGATGTAGTTGCTGATCTTCTCATTACCTACATCTACGCTGCCCACAGCCACACACTCTCTAACACTCAACTAGATTTCACTCACACGCACTCACACTCTTCTCAGGTCAATCGCATAATTTTTGGTAACTTATCAGTTTAAGCCCCCCTCCCCCTCCCTCAGAAAGGTCAATTTTGGTCAAATTTATCGATTTTGTGATTTATAACTCATTAGATAGAGGTAAGTGTCTACTCTTGAATGTACTATAGTTGATTGATTTTATCGCGAGATTGAAGGATATTACATAGGTTTTTCTGAGCACCCATATTGGAAAAAATAAGGTTTCTAAAAACTTATTTTTCGTTTTTTTTCAAAATTAATTTTTTCGAGCATACCGTTTACGCGGGGAACGATTTCTTGATAACGACTCAATAAAGAACGGATATTTTTTTTTGTTGCATAGAGGGTAGGTGGGGCTAGATCCTCACAGGCTCCAATTTTTGAATTTCTCTTTTGGTGAAACAAAAACTTTAATATTTCATTTTTATTAGTGCTTTGAATTTGAACATTTTTCGAAAATATGTTTTCAAAAGTGAAACAAAGGGAAATCTAAAAATCGGGCTCCGTGAGGTTCTGGCCCTAAGGGTACTCTACTAGTTAAAAACCGCGCGAGCTGGTTAGCTTGTATCCTTATTGTGAAATCCTTCCCCGCGTACAGGATGTTTTTGACCAATAAATTGACTATAACTCATTAGTTTATTGGAAATTTCGGGGAGATATTTCACTCATAATCTATCCTATCCTATACTAATATCCTCCAAAAATTTTGGTGAAATCGGACGAAAAACAACAAAGTTCGTTTCTGAGGGGGGGGGCCTAAGTATTTATTTGTTTCTACTTTGCGCTAAGGTAGATAAACTGAAGCATTTGTTGCATTTTTTTCATTCGGCGATAAAGTATGAAAAATAAAATCCTTTCTCTTAGATTTAATCTTGCCAAATAGCATTCATATCACACGTATCACTGCTCCCGTCTGGTATGGCAAACAAAGCTTTTAATTGTCTTCTTCCACTCAACTTTAATATTACAATACCTATTTACACTGCTGAAGATATAGTTCAACGTCGAAGCTTTTTAATGGATGAAGTGATTCGAACAAAGCTATTATGTGATGAATTAGACTCAAATGAAGTTGTTTCACCTTACGCAGATAAATTAAAAGCGCAGACAGAGCGAAAGAACAGGGCACGCCTAGCAGATGAAAGTGACCCAAGATCTCACTCAGAGTCAAGCTTATTGGATAAAAGAAAGGATGTAGAAGAATTTACGCTGATCTGGCTTGACCAAAGACTTGATGCAGACAAACCTGATGTGCGAAATTTGGCTGCATTGCGTGATGCCTTTGATTCTCTTCTTTCATTTACTGATATAAATTCCTGCTGCGAGTATATCTCGAAAATTCCGCACAATAATGTCTATTTAATTATCTCAGGAACAATAGGTCGGAACATAGTACCCATAGTACATGGTTGGAGACAAATACGCTCAATTTATGTTTTATGTCAATTGAAGGATGAACACCGTAAGTGGGCATCAGCTCATGCAAAAATCCGTCCAGAAGATATCTTTAATAGTGTCAACTTTCTTATTGAAAGACTCAGAACTGATTTGTTCAAATGTCAAAAAGTGCATGGAGTCAGCTACAAAATTGAAAGATCAGTTTTTGATGTTCACAGCAATGAAGCCGATTTTAGGTGGTCTTATCGTTTAACGCAAACACTTATTTCATGGCCACGAAGCTCCATAGCCCAGGATAATATGATTGCTTATATGCGAGATTATTGTAAAGAAAGTCAACCTAGTACTGCGTTTATAGACAAGCTTTCAAGAGATTACATTGCGACCGAAGCTATTCGGTGGTATACAATGCCTGGTTGTTTATTTTTTCTTGTGAATCGAGCGTTTCGCAACGAGAGTATAGATGAAATCTTCAAATATCGATCATTCATCAAGGATCTTTCCGAACAGATCACTTTACTCCACAATGAACAGCGAGAATATGGACTTGATGAGTGTTGCGTCTATAGAGGCACTTGTCTACCATATGATGATATCGCTGTTCTGAAAGCTAATCAAGGTAAATTAATTTCATTCAATGGATTTTTGTCAACAAGTTTAGAAGAAGACACCGCAGTATATTTTATACAACCAAGCGATGAACAAGCACAACTCGAAGGTGTCCTATTCGAATACTATGTCAATGCCAGCCTTGAGACATCCGCATATGCTCATATTGGGTCTCAGAGTGCCGTTCCTCATGAACAAGAAATCCTGTTTGACATTGGCTCTATCTTTCGAATCGAATCCATGAAGTATGACTCCAATAAGAAAATTTGGCGTGTACGTTGCATATTGTGTGACAAAAAAGACTGTAGCCGACTTAACATTAATGGAGCCTCCACTAGTCAGCAGGGCTTTCTTACTTTCGTTCAATATGGTCATCTTTTATCTGCAATGGGTGACTTTCAAAGAGCACAAAATTTCTTCCACATGCTATTGAAAGAAGCAAGTCAGGATAGCGCAAAAGCTATATGTCTGTTTGGACTTGCCGATATTTACTTAACGGTTGGAGATCGCATTCGCTTCACTCGTGCATTCAACGATGGGTTAAAATACTGCTCTGATTCAGACGAAAACTTAGATACTATTACGAAAAGTCTCCATCTCTATCGGAAACTTGGCTCTGCATGCACTACAGCTGGGCATTTCAACGACGCTCTTAACTGTTTTGCTATAGACATGTCTCTGATTGATGACGACAGTACCATCTATAGTCGAGCACATTTGGCTTTGACGGTAGGTGCTGCTGGTTCTGTGTATTTCCAAGTCGGTGACTATGCAAGAGCGCTAGAATGCTATCAGCAGGAAGCGAAACTAGCTGAAGAGCTCTACACTGATACAATACAACAAGCAAATCTCTACGAACGTTTTGGATGCATACACTTACAGCGACAAGACTTTGATGA